TTTTTGCAAATTTCTCAGTTTTTAATAACAATTAATGTCTTTTACTATTTTTTCTGTACTCTTATAACAGCGCCAGACAACAACTCCGGAGGAATGACGCCAATTTTGAATCGCCAATCATGAATTGTTTAGTTGTTCCTTTGTTCGGAGTGTTTTTGTCTGCTAATTAAAGTACTTAAGCTATTTTCTGGTTTTTATTTCTAACCGGGTTGTGAAGTTAAGACGGGTAGTTTTTTCGGACACAACACTATTATTGTGCCAAGATAAATATCTTGGTCAAATGACTGCCTTTGTGTATTCGATTTGCGTGTTGTTCAGTGTTAGTTTTGGAGTGTTTGTGTTGACTGTTTTTTCTGGTTATTATCATGGCTTTAGTTTTTTCAGAGTTAATTTTGATTGTAAGTGTCGGCCTAGGCGTGACAAGTGTTTAAGTGTCGTTGTAAAGATGGGATAATACAGTTGATATTTTTATTAAAATAATAGAGGCTCGTGTCATCAGCGAAAAGAGCAACTTTGGAATGGGGACTTTTTGGAGCATCAGCTGCGTATAGGTTGTAAAGAGTTGGGGAAAGCGGGGCGCCCTGTGATACTACTGCTTTTATGGATCGGGTGGAGGATTTTGTTTCATTCACAGTTATGAAAAATTTTCTCTCGTGGAGAAAGTTTGCCACAAACTGAACGAAGGTTAGGGGTAGGTTGTGGATGTTTTGGAGTTTTCAAACCAAGCCCTCGTGCGATACTTTGTCGAAAGCTTTTTCTATGTCCAGGAAAATGACTCCAGTAGAGCCCTTTCGCTGGAGAGCGATCGTGGCATCTTGAGTTAGCCTGGCTGCTTGCAGTACGGCATCATGTTTTTGCATGAAACCGAACTGGTCCCGAGGGATCGGTTAGATTTGGGCAAGTAAATCCACAAAATATCACCCCCAGGGGGTATGTTCTGTGAGTAAATCGTTGAGGCGTTCAAGGAAGAGAGTTCGGTGAGCTTTGAAAGTGTAGAGAGGAGGCTGATAGGTCTCCAGTTTTGGGGGAACGTTTTTTTTTAGTGGGTTTGGGGATTAGTATGATGAGGCGGTTTTTCAGGATGTAGGGGATTCTCTGAGGAATGAAGAGACGTTTATTAAAGTTAGGATTTGGGTTAGGAGACATTCTGGAAGATGTTTTATGATTTTGTTTGTAATTTGGCCTGGTCCGGGGGTTCGTTACCAGATGTGCACCACACAAAGTTAACCATAACTAAGAATAAGTTTTAAGGATGACTGGTGCAAATAGTATGTCATTGGCTATACCCCAAGATTCCTAGAATATACAGGTAGCATGGTAATCCTGAGCGGAGAGAGACGAGAGCGGGAGGTGTGACGTCAGGTGTTTGCCGTTTTCCACTGCAATACAGTGGATTATAACGTTACTACTAATTAAAATAAGTTTCTTTTTGTTTAAACAAGAACAACGTTTCTGCTATTGGTGCTAATGGTGTTGTGTTTGTATGTTTCGATAAGTACTCAACCTAAGATAGAACAAATTAGACTTTTGAGGTAATTTAAAAAAATAAATACCCGACAATCAATAAAGACAAATGGACTGGATAATTGAAATCACGGTTGATATACTAATTACCATAATTAAAATGATTGAACCTAAATTGTCAAGGAATTTTAAATGTTTTCGTTCAGGATGCCACGGGTAGACTTGTTTATAGTGTCTATCTGCCTTAAGGATATTAAGGTTCGAAAAGAAAGGATAAGAAACTGTTATTGCAAAGATATATGGCATGTTGCAAATAAAATAATTTATAATAAACATTTTAAACCACACGAATTTGAAAATGCGCTGCGGGCTACACATCCAAACCGCCTAAAAAAATTGGTACGGATTTTCAGTTGCTTGCTTTTTATTATTTGATTATTATTTTTTGAAGTGATAACTTTTCATGGGAGGGTGAACCAATTTTTCTCGGTCTCGGCGGCTCCCACTCCGGCTTCTTTGCGCCTGAGGCTTGGGACGCACCAATGCACTTTGAATTCGACATTTTTCTCTTAGTGCGGGTGCATCTGTAGATCTGATAAACTTTTCAAATACGCATTGCGTTATTAAACTGACAGTGATTTTGATTTATCAATTATTGAGTGTGATATTATTGTGTTCGGTGCAGTTTATTTTATAACGCTGATAACAATGAATCAACAAATTATCAAGGGACAAGCTGCAGATACTGCAAATACTAGGCTAAGGGTGCTCATGTACTAAATGCCTGTTCGAGTTTCGCCTTCTCTTAAATTTCCAATTAAAGTACACACACAATTATACACACTAAAGCAGTTTAAGTGCAAAAATACGGATCGTCCATCAATTTGCAGGAAAATGTATTACAAACTTTTGAAAATCATCTTCAAACGACCGGGTATTTATCATTGCAAATGAGACTGCACATTGCCGTGTACTGTTAAATACTGTTTTAAGAACTAACAATCG